GCATACTCATCTGTCAGATCCAGCGAAAACAGCAAATCCTCCTTGTAGTACAAGTTTTCCTCAGGGCTAGAACATGAACTGGAAGGTCCAACATCATCTTGCTCCTCCTGGCCACAATCCTGACCTAAAAATCACAAACAGAATGAACACAATAAAGTGATAGGCGAAAGATATCCACCAATTACAATGTGGTAAAATAACCAAATTATCAATTTTGATTTTTTCACATACCAGAACCATAATTTCCTATAGATTGACAAACCCAATCCTGTTGGTAACCAGACACTTGCCCTTCATTTGGAGATCCCTGTTCTTCAACAACTGAAAGTTGTGACAGCTCCTGTTGAAGAGCATGTGCAATAAGCTCATCATTTTCCACATTGCAGCATTCTGTATCATAATGATCCTCCTTGAAATACTGTCCATGATAATTAGCATACGGATCGCAATCAAACAGTTGCATACTCCACTGAACAACATAAGAATCTTGCTCAGATGTAGTCATTTCCAATATATGGATACTCCTGATTAGATCTTAACACTGTTTTGCAGCTGAAATGCACAGTCCTACCTAACTTTCTCCTGGAGCAAACATTTCAAAAACCAATCACATTCCTGAGATACTAAAAACATCAACCTAAAATGCATATAAAGAGCATGCACATTTAATAAAAAGCTGCAAAATCCAAATACAACACAAGATTAAGATCACATTAATGAAATCCAACAAAAACTAACGCCAGTGCATCCAAAAAAGGATCTCCATTATCCTCTGAGCCTTTTTTTTTTTCTACATTCTTCCAATGGATTTACAGCTGAAAATCTGAATCCGCAACATAAACTACGACATTGTGGATCAGATATAGAAGTTAAAAATCAAGAAATCAGAACTCAATGATCAAACAAAAATCAGAATCCACGTACCTGAAAATGTGCTCTTGAATAAGGATTAAGTAATGGGTAAGGAATTGAGGAAGGAATGGAGAGTGAGATAATGGGAAACAGATTTCGCCTTTCGGCAGTCTTAAAAATGGGAAAGGAGCCCTGTCCGGTGAACATGCGTCCTGGTTACCTCTCACTCTTTATCATTTTTTTTTTTAACCCCTTTTCCTTTTTTTTCTCAGAGTTTTCTATTTTATTGATGTTCCTTAAACCAACCAGTGAAAAAAAAAAAAACCAAGGCAACCTCACGGCTCACCTCGTGAATACTGTACCACGGGTAACGGAAACCCAGATGCCCATTCTCTTCTCTATTATATTATGGCAGCATGAGATGAGATTTTGGAAGATAAATTGACATGTGAACATGGGGACCTTGGGAGAGATAGCCGTTCGGGAGAGTAAGAGTGGGGCTAGTTGGGGAACCCCGAATCGAACCCCACTTAATTCATTGCTTTTTATTACGGGCTTTAGAGGAAAGTTATGAGGGTATCGAAGAGCTGGGCATCAACATTAAGGATCTTAATAGACAGGGCAACTTGATATGGAATTTCTTGTTATAAAAACACAGACATATATGGGACAACTATTACAAGAAAACATCCTTAATTTCAAGTGTTATTTTTTCTCTTTTCCAAATCATTCTATAGACTAATGACTCGAATGGATGATTGACTTATATATACTATTAACGTGGAAATATGAGATAAGATAGTGTAAAATCATGTTTAAGTTATTTTCAATTCAATTATACTATAATTATACTTAGGAAAAATATGTTTATCAACAATAACTACAAAAAATTACTCTTTTTATTTTAAAATAGCTGATGTTTTAAATTTTTTTCTTCAAATTAAAATTTTGAGGACAATCCATATATTTAGTTATATTATCATTAAGAAAAAATTAAAAGATAAAGTGATAATTTTTGTGATAGAGTTATTAATTACAATAAATAGATAATAATAGAGTTAAATTAAAAAAAATAGTTATTTATCTTAAAAAACGGTAATTATTTTGAAATAAAAGGAGTTGACAAAAAAATATCTTAAAATTATGTAGTTTTAATAAATTTTTATTAAAAGGCTAAAATATCTTAATTTTTTAAGTAGAAATGAGATTATTTTACCATATTCTTATAATATTTTTATTAAAATGACTTAATTTTAAGTATTTTTTTAACTTTTTTTTATAAATTTGGTTGATAAATGCTAATCTCTTAAATTCAATACAATAGGTAAGAAGATACATGGGCCAATATTCCCAGAATTAGTGTTAATAGAAGAAAAAAAGAAAGATCATTCATGGTAATTCTCAAACAAACTTAATTAAAAAAAAAAATCCAAGCAAAACTGTGTCCATTTTTTCAATAAAAAGGTGTTTCAAAGAAAATCCCTTGTCAGGGAAAGGAAAACTTTGCCCAATTGCCCTGGACCTTAACACAAGGGCCTCTCAAGGAATTAAATAAGCGACTTCGTTTTCCGTAGTCCCGCTTTCGCGTTTAACTTGGCGTGGAAGTGGACAAGAAGAATAGTCAGCTAAGTTCGCCGTTCCGAGGAGATGGCGGACGCCTGCATCAGAACCGTCGTCGAAGCCATCCACTCTTCCCCCACTCAGGCCGTCCTCTACTTCTCCGGCGGCGCTTCTCTGGTCTCTCTCCCGTCCGCTTCCATCTGTACTAATTCTAGTTTTAATCATCACCTCCTCTAATCACCTTGTTTGATTTATCTTTTACAATCGGAGCAGGCCTTAGGTTGGTTAATTTCAGTTCCCGGAGCTTCAAATACGGTACTCGAATCCGTCGTCCCATACTCCAGAATGTCCATGATCCAATTACTCGGCAAGGTTTTCTTCCTTCTTTACCCAATTCACTCCTGATTTTATGGTGATAATCAAATTTCTTGATTTGCTTGTTTTCACTCGATGTTGCAGGTTCCCGCCAAATATTGTAGTCTACAAACTGCCGAGGAAATGGCTTTGTTGGCTTATAATCGTGCGCTTAAACTCTCTACGCCAGGTTAATTTTGCTTATAATTCTTCCTTTTTTTTTTGGCTTTGATTCTACTTTTGTTGAAAAACAAAAAGTAAGTACTGTTAGGGCTATCAGTGTGCTTCTTCAACCTCCAGATTGTGTAGTTAAGTGCTAATATTTTCCTGGTTAACAACATCATAATGCTTATGTAGTTTGTATTAAATTGTTAAATGGGATTCTGGGTAGTTTGATTTCACACGGTCTCTTTATCTATTAAATAGGTCATCCAGTGCTTGGAGTAGGCCTCACTGGTTCTTTGGCATCAACACGCCCGAAACTAGGTGACCACAGGTATCTTCCATGAAGTTTTCTATTTATATTAAACACTTTTTTGGAAGATACATCATACATTTTCATTTGTGAAGCTATGGTTTGTGTTTCTCTAAGTTTCTTCTTGGTATTGTTTCGTTTTTTTTTTTTAACAGCAAAAGTAATATTTATTGAAAAAAGAAGTACAAGGGGTACCTCAAACCCATAAACATCCCAATTTAAAAGGCATAAATTACCCTTACTGGTTCTTGGTATTGTTTCGTATCACCCTTTAACTGATCCAATCAGTCTAGGATGTTATGTTTTAACATTGGCCTGTTGACATATTCATTGTGATAGTTACTCTAAAATGTTATTTGTTAAGATCTCATTAGATGTTTAAGTGATCTAGGAATTCAACTAGTAAACAATTGAAGTTGCAATGTTTATATTGTTGGCCAGATTACTGTTCACTTGTTTAACTTTCTTTTTGTCCTTTCTCATCCTTCCCCTGTTTTCATGGCTAGGTTTCACTTATCAACAAGAACATCTGACAGATATTGGGCGTCTACAGTCACCCTGTCAAAGGTAATTAAGTGATTTTGGTGTGATTTTGAATTTGATCTCAATATCCTCTGTGCATCAATACTCTGATGCTGAATTTGTTTAGGGCTTGAGGACTCGAGAGCAAGAAGAAAAGGTTTCAAGTTGTCTCTTGCTGAAGGTGAGTGATAATAATTAGGATTTTTCTTTATCTTTAGAGCATCAAAAAATTTTGTAAGCTCTTTTTATCTGAATATATTTTCTAGATTCTAGAATTCATCAAAGCTTATAAATTCTTAGAAATTTAAAAAGATGGTGGCATTTTTGTTGCTCTTGACTTGTTGACTTTTTTCTCAATATTGCTTAGCCAAAAGCATTCATTTATTTTAGAGTTGCTGTTCCTTTCTTCATTTCCTTGTAGATCTTAAGTACTGTTCCTTGTGGTTATAGGCAATTGCAATTGCATGCAAGGTTCCTGCAACATTTGATTCTGAGTTGGTTGAATCTGAAGTTCCAGATGAATGTGAAAGGCTATTCAGTGAAGATGAGCAATTGGAGCAACTCATAAATGGACAAATTTGCTTTAAAGTTTATCCATTTTCAAGTGGTATGATAACCTTTTCATGAAGTTCCAATGGAAACAGAACATATTCATTTTTACTTTATATTCTTTGGTCCATTATTTTTGTCTAAGAACTGCATTTTGGAGACAGATACGTCAAATGAAGATAGGAAGATTATACTACCTGGTTCCTTTAATCCGCTACATGATGGTCACCTCAAGCTTCTGGAAGTTGCTACTAGGTTTGTGAAATAAATTTCCTTAAACTGGATTTTCTGAAATATCAACTTATCTATATTTGTTTTTTTTTTTTAAATCTTACACACCTCAGACATTTATTTGGTTTGTTATTTTATGGGAAGTTGTTTAAATGGGTGTCTGCATATTCTGATCTTTCTTTCTTCTTAGTCTTAATCTTCTTCTACTTTTTCTTGGGGCTGGGGTGGCAAGGATTTCCTATCTATATGTTTTTTTTTTTTTGATACTAACCTCCTGGTATCTGAAAGTCACATTGGGCCCCATTAATCTAGAATCGAGTCGTGTCGGATCCCATAAGAGAGGAAGCTTTCTTAGTGCTTGTTTCTCCATTCACAAGACTCAAATTTGAGACTTGTTTAAGGGGAACCGAGCTCTCCACTTGCACCAACAAGATGTTGGTCCTATCTATATACATTTTGAATGAGAAGACGATTAAGGATAATAAGGCATTAAAAGTAAAGAGGTTAAGCTTGGAAATGAGCTTGTCAGTACTTGTATTCCATGCATTTCTGGTTACATTTCCAATGTGATGCTTCACCATTAAATATCTAAAACTTGCTTTAATGCAGTATTTGTGGCAGTGGGTATCCATGCTTTGAATTATCTGCAGTCAATGCTGACAAACCTCCATTGTCAGTGTCACAAATCAAAGATCGTGTCAACCAGTTTGAAAAAGTTGGTAAGGCTGGTTGATTCTATCATTGTAATTTCTAGTGTTTGTTTGAGTGTATAAAACACTTATCTAATGTAGATTTATGGTGTTTTAAAATTTGAACTTTGCATTTAGGTTCAAAAGAGTATCACTTCTTTTATCTGAATTTCAAATGATATTAAGTATCACTTCACCGATGGGCAAATATCACATAACTTATGTACCAAAAGAAAGGTATCGCAGAATTTAGTCAATCTAACAACAAATGTGGCACAAGTATATTTATTGAAGAGTCAAGTTATTACTCTTCACAGCAAGCATGTTGGAGTCAGAGTGGATCTGGAAATTTACATCTGACTCTTTGCCTTTGTTTTGATTGTCATGAACGAGGCTGCTGTTTTTTTATGTGACGCTTAATCCTCTTTCACCTATTGCAACAACCCAAAGCAAATGTCATCTAAATGCAATTTACTCTTGTTTTTGAACTGCAGGGAAGTCGGTAATAATTTCCAATCAGCCATTTTTTTATAAGAAAGCTGAGCTTTTTCCAGGCAGTGCTTTTATAATTGGCGCAGACACTTTAGCAAGGCTTATCAATGTATGGATCTTGAAATTCATATATTTTATATTTCCTTAAGAGATGTGGCCACTGATTACACCATTTGTGATCCTGGCAATATTGTCTTTTACTGATTCATATTGCTTTCCAGCCAAAATACTATGATGGGGACTACAATAAGATGGTGCAGATACTTACTGGATGCAAAAATACAGGGTGCACTTTCCTTGTGGGTGGTCGCAATGTAGATGGTGTCTTTAAGGTATGTGTTGAACTAGAATCGCCGCAAACAGCTGCAGATGCTTCACATTTTATAACTACTTGAATGTTTCTGCAGGTTCTTGAGGACTTTGACATCCCAGAAGTGTTAAGAGACATGTTTGTCTCAATACCAGCAGATAAGTTCCGCATGGATATATCCTCCACCGAAATAAGGAAGAGGAGTGGAATGTAAATCTCACACCCATAGCAGAAAATAAACACCACATAAATTCTTGTAATGTTGACGAAGTATGACAAACAGGGCTTCTTTTTCCCCTTTAAAAAAAAAAAATTATATATCATTCATGTATGCATAGATCTTCTGACTTGACTTGGGCTATGGAAAAAAAAAATAAAAGAGAGAGAGAGAGAATAATTATCATTGTATGTGATACCACTGAAATTCTGTTTTGAATTGAACCCAAAAAAAGAAAGGAAAAAAATAAAGGAAAAAGGACATTGAAAGATTATTTGGAAAAATACAACTGCAGTCGGATGAAATTACTTCTTTATCACTGCTTCACTGATATTACTCGACCAACGAAACTCAGAATTGCAGAAGCAATTTACATACTGATGGAATACATCAAAGATTGCGACCAACGCCACTGCCTGAAACTAAGCTGTTCTGTAGTGGTGCTAGCCCAACGGAGAGTATTAAGAGTATGTCACCCACCGCTGCCGTCACCACCACATCCAGTACCACATCCGCTCGTACACGGTGTGCCATATGCATTGGTGTGGCCGGTAGTGTCCTTATCCTTGGATGCCCCACCAGCACAAGAGAAGATGACAACCGTGATGACAGAAAGAACGGCCAAAGCCGCCCAAAAGACCCAAATTGCACTACTCAACCCTTGTATGCCTCCGCCACTGTCCACTCTCACCGCCTCTTCCCACCGCTGCAACATCTCTAAGCAAAATTCTTAAGAGGATTAGAATTTAGAAGCACCGTAATTCAGTAACCACACATACTTTATCAAAGAATAGTTGACTTCAAAGGTAAGCTT